GTGCACCTGCATCAGGTGCTGCACTCCGCCCTCTTCTGCGTGGTGAGTGCACCTGCATCAGGTGCTGCACTCCGCCCTCTTCTGCGTGGTGAGTGCACCTGCATCAGGTGCTGCACTCCGCCCTCTTCTGCGTGGTGAGTGCACCTGCATCAGGTGCTGCACTCCGCCCTCTTCTGCGTGGTGAGTGCACCTGCATCAGGTGCTGCACTCCGCCCTCTTCTGCGTGGTGAGTGCACCTGCATCAGGTGCTGCACTCCGCCCTCTTCTGCGTGGTGAGTGCACCTGCATCAGGTGCTGCACTCCGCCCTCTTCTGCGTGGTGAGTGCACCTGCATCAGGTGCTGCACTCCGCCCTCTTCTGCGTGGTGAGTGCACCTGCATCAGGTGCTGCACTCCGCCCTCTTCTGCGTGGTGAGTGCACCTGCATCAGGTGCTGCACTCCGCCCTCTTCTGCGTGGTGAGTGCACCTGCATCAGGTGCTGCACTCCGCCCTCTGTGTGGTGTATAATTGTCCGATTGGTTAAATACGATTGTATAAAAAAACTGATAAGACAATTGTCAATAAAACAAATTCTCTGGTCTTCAATGAAACCTGCTTAAAGGAACAACTTTTGCCAACCTATATTAATTTTGGACAATGTGCATATATCTTCATAATATCACACTTATTGTACTTGCTTTTAATTTTCAATAATAAAATTATATTTCTTTCATTTTGCATCAATATTTTAGTAATTTATTTATTTAAGAGTACAATTAAAATCTCATCTCAGTGATTGCAGAATGAACATACTGTCGCACGCAACAAACTTCTTGTCCGAATTTAGCATCAGAGTCTAGCACGACTCAGTAAATTTTAAACCTATTTTCTTTGAACTACGGAACTTTTTCCTAATCGGGGATATTTTTCACGAAGGGGCCTTATATCAATTATCTGATAATTTCCATCTTTCTGATTTTTAATTGATCTGTATTCTTTCTGCCTTCTGATATCTACCATATTCTTTCTCTATTCTGATATCTACTATATTCTGATTCTGCCTTCCGGTATCTACCTATAGAAGAACGCTGATACTGAAAGTCATGATGACTACAAAAACGTCTTCTGTTGATGTTTTTCATCTTGCATGATCAACGAAATCAATCTTGCATAATAATAATCTTCATCTTGAACGGACGCTTGTTGTTAACCCTATACTTTACTCTTATATAACACATATTGTATAATATAAAAACTTACTCCCAGTTGAAGATTCTTGCGATAAATTCTTTCGTCCTTGCCTCTATACTTGCTGTGATCCGCGAACGAAGGCAAAATCGAAAAAATTCTCACGAGCTAAACATCACCGTTAGAAAATTAGGTATTTATATACAAATTTTCATACAAATCTGTTAAGTATTTTAGAAAAAATTTACTCGCGTACGAAAGCAAAATATAAAAATTTCTATTTGTTAAATATCACCGTTGGATAGTTAGGAATGTATATTCGAAATTTCGTTCATATCTATTCAGTACTTTGGGAAAAATGTCTTGCTCACTGCTAATTTCGGCACGCATCGCCATATAACTCACAAATGAAGGTGAAATCGAAAAAATTCTCACGAGTTAAACATCACAGTTATGTCATAATGAATACGTGTACCAAATTTCATCGAGCTACGTTTATTAATTTTGGAGATATTCCTTGATAATTGAATTATATTCCTTGGTCACTGAATTAGGAGACCGGCCGCAAGTTCTGCCGTAAATTTGTCCGTTACGTAAAATTATAAATATTTTATATTATTTATATAAATATATATTTATATATTTTATAAATATATAAAATTTATATATTTTATAAATATATAAAATTTATATATTTATATTATCTATATAAATTCATCCATAAGTAAATTACGATATATATGAAGCCCGCCCCAGCCTGACGTGGACTGTGGCAGCTGGCAGCGGTGGACGCAGACAGCGGTGGACGCAGACAGCGGTGGACGCAGGCAGCGGTGGACGCAGGCAGCGGTGGACGCAGGCAGCGGTGGACGCAGACAGCGGTGGACGCAGACAGCGGTGGACGCAGACAGCGGTATAATGCCTATTGGTTAACACGACTCTCAGACAAATTAATGTCTCATATTGACCAAATATCGACACAGTTTCTTCATGTAGCACTGATGCGCCCCATTCCAGGGCCTATACTTTCAAAAAAAGTGAATAGTTCGTAAGTTCATCAGCCAATCATTGACGGCCTTTCAAGCAAAGTCCACCAATCATAGACAAGAAGATACAGCGTAAGTACTTACGTTCACTTAGCGAGTTTTGAAAGTATGGTCCCAGGTCACACTGGATACCGATCCAGTTATTTGGAAGTACCTTATTTCTCTTAGTATAAGTGCGTGTTACAGTGGCGGAAATGGCTATACGACCACCCTTATATTCTGAATAATTTTTCTTGCATAAAAAATGTTGGATTCTAATTATACGAGGTTAAAATACGCTTAAAAACGGTTCCAACGCTATACGGAAATAATAATTAATTCAAAATGTAGGAGAATAAATTATGAAAATCATAAAATACTCGGGGGAAATGGTTATGAGACCAATAGAGGTTTTCCCATTTTTTAATCCCATACGTGCACCATTCGTTTTAATAGGCAATCTTACCTCCTCTCGCCTTAATTACCTCAATGCATCTTCTCCCATGCTATATACTAAATAATCCAGTGTCTTTTGAGGAATTTTATCCCAGGAACGAAGGATAGCCGTGCTCAGGTCACTCACAGATTGAAACTGGCGCTTATTTTGGTAAACATCCCTCTCCATGATGCCGCATAGGTTTTCAATAGAATAGAATAGAATAGAAGTGTCGGCACTGAAGAAATAGGCCCATGGCCTGTTGCCGATTCTTGAATTTTCCGTGACTTGATTCACAAGGGATCCGGCCTTTGGAACCCGATCTTTCCATAGCTGACGATTGATTGAGATAGCTGCTGGACTTATTGCCTGGTCCGTAATTTGCTAGGCATTTAAGACTGCTAGGCAACCCCTCAATGGGGTTGAGGTAAGGGCTAGGCACTAGTCAAGCCAACGGCATAAAGGAGAAGACTGTGAAATAGCGTGTGCTTGTATGCCGTGGAATCTTGCCGCACTTGTAAAATAGCTGGAGTTGAATTTCCCTTTCGGCTGAACGCCCCCAAAACCATGACCGAACCAATACCAGGGCCTATACTTTCATAAAAGTTAAAGAGATCGTAAGTTCATCAGCCAATCATTGACGGCCTTTCAAGCAAAATCCACCAATCATAGACAAGGAAATAGAGCGTAAGTACTTACGTTCACGTAGCGAATTTTGAAAGTATAGACCCAGTTTGCCGCTTGGAAAAGAATTCAGGCTCACGGTCCAGGTGGTGCCAATGGCATCTGGACCATCAAGATTGACCGGCTGGACCATCAATTGATTGAATTTTTTCATCAACGAAGATAATCCCTCACCGAAATGCACATTTTTTTAGCTAGTTTTAGTAGGTTGATAACATGTTTTTGTTTGAGCATAGGGGCATTTTTCCGATTCTTGTTCTTGAATTTCTTCGAGTCATGCAAAATCTGACGGATGCGTCGTGCTGCCACATAAACTCCAGTGGCCAATTTTATAGAAGTAGAGGTAGCGCCAGCTATGGAAGCCTCTGAAAACAGTCTCCTAATATCCCTGTCGGTTAATTTTGGGGTTGGTACAGAGTACATTTTTTATACGTAGCCGTCCGAATTAGCAAAAAATGATTGTACAACAGTTTTTGCGCGTTTAATTTCCTTTGCGATGTCCTGTTGGCTTCTACCGTATTTCGCATAGGCCAAAATCTGCGCCTTCTCGGCCTCTGTGAGTCTTGTCCATTTTTGCATCTTTTTTACTTCGAAATAATATAAATGAAGACACTGAACTACACCAGAAGTACACCAGAAGTACACCAGAAGTACCCTAAATGGCGAAATTCAGGATCTTCTTCACGTTGCTGTACTTTTTAAACGTGAAAATATAACAGAAATATACTAAAATGATAAAAACCCATTATGGTCTTATGATCATTTCAACCTAGATTTTTCTAATTTTCATAATTTCTTTTCATATATTTTGAAAAAAAAAATAATTTTTTCGTATGACGTTTGAACCGTTTTTAAACGTAGTTTAACCTCGCATAATTAGAATCCAGTATTTTTTATGCAATAAAAAATATTCAGAAAAAAACTTGGTGGTCGTATACCAGTTTCCACCACTGTATGCCCATAGGTTTTTCCTAGGTATTATAAAATAGTGCTCTTCCCTAACAAAATTTTGAGGTGGGCGCGACTCATCATTAGGGTCCGCCTAGGACTCCGGGAGCACGTAAATTAGCTTCTCAAAGACAGCCTCGGCTCAGGGTTTGAATGGCAGCCTCTGGGCAGCTTGCTAGCTCCGTATTACTCGGCTCGCCCAGCCCTTGTTATACTCTCAGGCGATTAAAAATTAAGACCCTTAACAAAATATAGAGCCAATGGCGGCTCTGGATTAAGCAACGCCTAGGACTCGGGGAGCATAGTCCACCGCAGCTTCCATATGTCCGCTTTTCGGTCTACATTCCGGTCCCCGAATCAGACAGCTACAAGCGCCTGGTACTTATTCGGCCAACTCTTGCCCTTCTCTCAGGAGACTGTAAAGTCGACAAGAAGGTTCTGACTAGTCGTTGATTACGATCAGTTGGCCAACTGACCCAGTATAACTCGATCTAACGCGAACATAGCAACTCTGGGGCGGAGGCTGCAGCATACCCCGAATTTTGTTAGGGACGGAATGGAGTTTCTGACCAGAAACTTATTTCGATTGAGTGGCCAAGCAGACCCAGAATTTGCGCCGACTGTAGAGGCTATATTCGGCCTAAGTCTGGGTGGTCCCAAATTTTGATAGGGTTATTAGGTTGGTCTAAAATCTAGCATTATTTAGGTGAGTGAGTAACTAACTTCTACTAAGGTTAATGAAGAATAAAACTCTTACTAACTTTTGAAACATGAACTCTTATTAGGTTATTGAAATCCAAACCTTCATCAATTTACTGAATAAACAAACATTCATATAGAGTTACTGAAAATCCAAAATTACATATTAATTATCTGGAATACAATTTCTCATCAAGGTCAGATTCTCATCAAGGTGAGGTTTTCGACACCTCCAGCGCAAATGACGTTGACGAAATAACAGTAAATCACAGGTATTTCAACGATAGATGACTGGTTAGAGTTATTAGTTTATCAGGTGATTATAAAGACTTCAATGGGCCGGGCCATCTTAAGAGGTTAGATGCCGACGACCCAGAGTGGAAAATTCGTCAGCGTCGCACAGGATGTCGATGGAGTTTTCGTCTATCAAGCGACTGTAACGAACCCACCCGGTGCTGGGATTTGAAAAAAAAACTATGTTAGAGGTTGGTTTTCAAAACCATGTATAAAGTTAGTGATGTAAAACCAGGTTGGTATGAAGTTAGTGATGTAAAATCACATAACATCTAGTGATCGCCGCATCATAACATCCTTGCTATATGTACCTTCATGATGTTAAGATTTACCAACACAACATGAACACATCTATTAGTCATGAGTTCGTATAAGTGATCATGAGATTATATCATAACAGATATTGGGATTACATAAAACATCTCGAGGATATATCAATATATCAATTTGGTCCCATATTGCACCATAAATATTGCGCTTACATTATTGCATCTATTTTGCGACCACATCAAAGTACAAATTATCAAGATGTCATCCCATCTAGTCGTCTACACACACTTACATACATCACACACATGAAATATTTGATGACTTACCGGTAACAATTCCAGTGCCAATGCCTGTCGCAGAGTCGGTAGTTGTCGACGTGGTTGTTGTCGAAGTGGTTGTGGTAGTGGCTTCCACCGCAGTGGTACTCAAACTTTGGCCGAAAGTCTCTCCAGTTGGCAACCCGTAGGCAACCGCGACGTTTCCTCCGTTGCGTGCGACGTTTCTTCCGGCACCAACGACGAAATTCGCATGGAACGAAAGCGTTTCGACGTACTTCACCAGACCGGCCACGGTGATGACAAAACCGGGGTAGGAGCAGCCACCGTCTTCTGCGGTCCACGTCACGTCGAAGTTGTTGTTCACATCAAAGGTTGCTGCCACTGTCAGTACTTTGAATGAACCTGTAGTGGGGAATAAATGACTATATACATCGTGGAAATGACTATACTTATACTCTTATAAATATAATCATTATATTGTTAGAAATTTCCACATTCCTTAGGATATAAATTTGTTCTTTTTCTTCATACCTATTGTTGGGTATCTATTTGTAAATAGTTTTGTTGGCTGAAATGTGAATGCGTCTTGATTCCTCAAGCTTGCGGGACCAGTCGTCTATGGGATCAAGTTCCACAATAAAAGTTCAACCTGTTTACCGTTTTTGTATTAAGCCTAACAATATTAGTATTACATTATAAATATAGTCACATCAAAGGTTGCGTTCACAGCCAGTACTTTGAATGAACCTGTAGTGTGGAATAAATGACGTTACTGTTGAGTGGAATGAATGATTTAAACATCATGTAAATGACTATATTTATACTCTTACTTATAAAGAAAATAATCATAAATACCTGAGCCTCGTTTAGAAACGTGGTTAAAATCCCAGCAAGAAGCATGATTAAGATGGCACACAACTTCCTTACCGATAGCGTACAAGCTGTCTCAATTGGAAACTCGAAATTTAGAGAAGCGAGGGTGAAAAGCGGAGTTACACAAGGCTCAGTGCTTGGACCGATCCTCTTCCTCATCCAAATCGCCGACACCGATTCGGAACTTACCCACGCATCTACATCGTCATTTGCGGACGATACAAGAGTGCTGATGAAGATCACAGATGACCTAGACTGCCAGAGGTTACATGATGACTTTTCGACAATTTACGATTGGGCCTTAATGAACAATATGCCGTTCAACGGCACCAAGTTTGAAGTGATGAGATGCAGAGTTGGCACAGAGACCGGGATGCTACTTGGCATCAGATGCCACATCGCTACTTGGCATCAGATGGCACAGAAATTGAGGAGAAGCAACTAGTTCGAGATCTCGAAGTGTTGATGAGTACCGAAGAACCTTTCGATGCCCACATCGAGGAAATAGTCGCGCGAAGCAGGCAACGGATGGGGTGGATCTGGCAGACATTTCGAAAGAGGAAGCAGCACCTATGATTACACTCTTCAGAGCCCTTGTGCTCCCCAATCTTGAGTACTGCTGCCAACTTTGAACGCCGTTCATGACGGGCGCGGTGCGGAAACTTAAGACAGCCCAGCGGACCTTCACATCCAGGATCAGAGGTATGAAGGAGCTGAAGCTGGACTATTGGGGAATATTGAAACACATGGGACTGTACTCATGGAGAGGAGAAGAGAGAGATATATCATACCTGAAAGATGATAACCGGACTAGCTCCCAATTCAGAGAGTGAGATATCCAAAATAGTGACATATTACATCGAAAGGAGAGGGAGACTATGCAAGATTCCCCCATTTAATAACCGAGCCGCGGCCAGAATACAGACTCTTCGGGATGGATCCTTGCCAAAAGAGCTGAGAGGAGGGGAGTTTACCCTTGCAACATTCAAGAGACGACTGGGCAATTGGTTTAAAAAGATCCCGGATTGTCCAGTAATGGGAAACTATCCTCAGCAAGTGACAAGCAACAGCACCTTGCATCAGCTGGCCCAAAGGAGGGCAAATATACAGAACACGTCCAACGTTACATCCAGGACTCGAGGGCGGGGTGACCTGCCTTTCGATGACTCGAAGACGGAGGACGACGAAGGTGAAGCATCAGCGTGACCGGGGACTAGGAAGTCCTAAACTCATCAAAAGGTCTTAAGGTCGTAAGCCTAAACACCCGCCTAAATTGGGCTGGAACAGAGGTGGGTTGGACTAATCTATCGCACCCACCGAAATTGGGCTGGACCAGAGTTGGGTTGGACTAATCTATCACACCCACCGAAATTGGGCTGGACCAGAGGTGGGTTGGCCTGGTAGATGACTACGGGGTTTGCCGCTGCTGCCTGCTGGTTAGCGCACGAGAAACTCGGCACAGTTGCGTTGTAGGTGAGGCAGGTGGTACCATTGAAGGATAGGGTGGAGTGTCCTGCGAAGTTAGCGGAGGTTAGGATTCGAAGCAGAAATCAACACCGATCGCAGCAACAGGGCAGGTTCAGAGCAAGCTTGAAGCAGGCTTTGGAGCAGGATCGAGCATTGCAGCCTCACGCCAGTTAGTTCGAAGCAGGATCTAAACTGCCAGCGCCGGAAGGAGCCGAATGGCAGCACGGAATTTCATTTATTGAAATGGGTCTCAAAAAGGGACATGTCTGCCAAATGCCTTCTCCTCGACTGCTTCTAGCCTGCCCTGCACGGCGCCGACCCGGCTCATACAATCCGTTCATTTTCACTGGGTTGCAGCCGTTAGTAATGACGTATTTTCATAGCTGCATTTGCCAATTATTATTGCAGGCCATTAGTACTAGATTAATACTACTTATTATTACCGGCCACGGCGGCAGCGTTGACGCAGTTCTTGAAGGTGGTAGCGCTCTGTTGGAAGCTTCCAAAGCATTTCAACATCGCCGGGTGAGTGTATGTGCGGCCATACACGACCCCCTTCTTGGACTTGATGGTCTGAAACACGACCGAAATTTGGACCTTCTTGCTGCAGGACTTCATGGGGCCTTGGGGGTTCACAAGCACCTGCAATAAATAGAATCGTTAGTGAATGTTAGTGATGACGGGGGTATTGGTTAAACTCTTATCAGGTTATTGAAAATATCAGTTGCACTAATCCACATACCAGGAAAAATGTGCCGGATCTATGGATTCAAATGCCTGCATGTTCATATTTGAATGCCTGGGCCAATACTTTCAAAAAAGTTAAGAGATCGTAAGTCCATCAGCCAATCATTGACGGCCACGCAAGCAAAATCCACCAATCATAGACAAGAAAATAGAGCGTAAGTACTTACGTTCACTTAGCGAGTTTTGAAAGTATGGCCCCTGCTCCTTGACTGCTTATCTTGAGAGGAACCCTAGCAAAATTTATTTGCGGGACCGACTCTATAACAGAGGCCAACCAGGACTCCGGGAGCACGTAAATCAGCCGCTAATGTCCGCATCAGGGGCCATACTTTCAAAACTTGCTAAGTGAACGTAAGTACTTACGCTCTATTTTCGTGTCTACGATTGGTGGATTTTGCTTAAAAGGCCGTCAATGATTGGCTGACGAACATACGATCTCTCAACTTATTTTGAAAGTATAGGCCCAGATCTGCATTTGAAAGGCAGCTTGCTAGCTCGGTATGACCTGCCTTGACCAACCCTTATCATACTCTCAGGACTGTGAACAGTATGAGAGTCCTGTGTGAACAGTATGAGAGTCCTGTGTGAACAGTATGAGAGTCCTGTGTGAACAGTATGACTCAGGACACACTTGCCATTTAGGTGGCCAAGCAGACCCAGAATAACTTTTTCCCGATTGTAGCGACTCTCGGGTAGAAGCCTAGGCGGTACATGAATTTTTATTAAAGAAGGGTAGGAGCTTACAAAAAATCTTTTGCTGGAAGATGTACGTCCATACTTAAATGAATTGGAATTATGTTCTGAATCTTCATAAAGGTTGACATATTCAATTACATTGAGGTGTGCTTGTGATAATTATTTATACTCACATTAACTGCAGGGCCTGTTGGCAGTCCAGCCTGTGGGCAAGAAAAAGCTTAATTCAATATACATTAAATACATTAATGATAATAATGATCGCCCGACAACATATGTTCGGGCTCGTAATGTAGACATTTTAATGGAAATGATTGGAAATTTATTAATTTCATTAACCATTATTATGCTATATACCGTTTGATGTTCAAAATATATTACCCAGAAACATTTGAAGTTTATCTGAATGTAATTCTACAAAGTTCTGTACAACTGCAACACGCGAGCGAAAAAAAAAGCAGAAATTTTTTGACAAATTCTACAACAAAATTTTTTTGTTGGATTTTTCCACAGCTGCGCTTATAGCGAGTTGGTCACTTATGGGGTAACTGGAGAAAACTGGAACAAATAATAGCGGAACAAATGTTAGCGGAACAAATGTTAGCGGAACAAATGTTAGTGGAACAAATGCTACTGAAAGAAATGCTGCTGGAACAAATGCTACTGGAACAAATGCTACTGGAACAAATGCTACTGGAACAAATGTTACTGGAACAAATGCTACTGGAACAAATGTTACTGGAACAAATGCTACTGGAACAAATGTTACTGGAACAAATGCTACTGGAACAAATGTTACTGGAACAAATGCTACTGGAACAAATGTTACTGGAACAAATGTTACTGGAACAAATGTTACTGGAACAAATGTTACTGGAACAAATGTTACTGGAACAAATGTTACTGGAACAAATGTTACTGGAACAAATGTTACTGGAACAAATGTTACTGGAACAAATGTTACTGGAACAAATGTTACTGGAACAAATGTTACTGGAACAAATGTTACTGGAACAAATGTTACTGGAACAAATGTTACTGGAACAAATGTTACTGGAACAAATGTTACTGGAACAAATGTTACTGGAACAAATGTTACTGGAACAAATGTTACTGGAACAAATGTTACTGGAACAAATGTTACTGGAACAAATGTTACTGGAACAAATGTTACTGGAACAAATGTTACTGGAACAAATGTTACTGGAACAAATGTTACTGGAACAAATGTTACTGGAACAAATGTTACTGGAACAAATGTTACTGGAACAAATGTTACTGGAACAAATGTTACTGGAACAAATGTTACTGGAACAAATGTTACTGGAACAAATGCTACTGGAACAAATGCTACTGGAACAAATGTTGCTGGAACAAATGTTACTGGAACAAATGTTGCTGGAACAAATGTTAGTTGAACAAATGTTAGTGAAACAAATGTTAGTGGAACAAATGTTGTTGGAACAAATGTTACTGGAACAAATGATACTGGAACAAATAACATGTTAATATATACCAGTTATTTTAATATAGTCCGATAACAGTTTTATATAACAGTCCGATATAATAATAGTTTTAATATCGGACAAAAATAAAACAATATTATTGTTTAACAACATGTAATTTTTTTTACCTGGGCCTCCATGGTGAAGGCTGTCAAGACCCCCACAAAAATGAGGGGAATGAGGGGAAAAAAAGCTACCATATTGTCCTGAGTACTACACTTCTATTAATATATATTATTGAACACCGGACGAGGTTAGTGTATAATATTTTTTAATTAGTATTCTTTAAGTTATTATAGCAAATTTAAGTGGAGAAAAAATTTTTAATTAGTATTGTTTAAGTTATTATAACAAATTTAAGCACCAGACCAACGTTACACCACGGCGTCCACTGCACAAGTGAAGGGGGCAGCGCCCCTTGGGCGGGTGGCTACATCCCCCCTGGGCAGGGGGGCTGTATTAACCCCCAACTAACTCCCCACTGTCCCTAAATAACCCCCACTAGTCCCCTCACTAACCCCATCGCAGGTGTTAGTGAGGGGGTCAAGTCCACGGGGGGGGGTCAAGTCCACGTAGCACTTGATACCATTTATATATTGACGAAAGTCGAAAATTCTAATAACAAGTGGTAAACGCTAGAAAACAAGTGGTAAACGCTAGAAAACAAGTGGTAAACGCTAGAAAACAAGTGGTAAATGCTAGAAAACAAGTGGTAAATGCTAGAAAAAGTGGTAAACGCTAGAAAACAAGGGGTAAACGCTAGAAAACAAGTGGTAAACGCTATGAAACAAGTGGTAAAGGCTTGAAAAAGTGGTAAACGCTACGAAACAAGTGGAAAACGCTATGAAACAAGTGGTAAACGCTATGAAGCAAGTGGTAAACGCTAGAAAACAAGTGGTAAACGCTAAAAAACAAGTGGTAAACGCTAGAAAACAAGTGATAAACGCTACTATTAGCTTTTAAAATAAAATGTTGACACGATATAAATTGAAATTATACTTAGTGGGGCAACGGGCCCACGCGTGTCACGGGGCAAAGCGCCCATGGTGAAGTCTTGTGTTATACATCATTAGATTTGTCTCAATGACCTTTTCAAACTATGACTAGCTTTTTGGATTACAAATTACAAATTACACTTCCTATTGCATGATTTTTTTTTATTTGCCGCCTCAAGGCAGCAAGTTTAGTTTCTAGTTATGCGTATTTATGACCCCTTATCGAGTTAATGACTCTTGAATTGCCGAAAGTTGATTTCAGTCAACACCAATGAGCCAAAAGTTGATGAGTTTTATGGTGTTGGCTGAAACCACGATTAAGTACGAATTCTCTGCACATAATATCTGGATTATGGACAAAACTGGAACGAAGTTTTTTCTGATCAACTAAATATATTTTTTCCAGTCAAGGATACATTTTTTCATGTCAAGGACGAATTTTTTATCGCAAGGATATATTTTTAAAGTCAAGGATATATATTTTTATGTCAATGAAATATTTTTCTTCACGTCAGTGATAGATTTTTTAAGCCAAGAGTATATTTTTTTCAAGTTAAGTATATGTTTTTTTTTAGTTGTTAATAAATGAGTGAATGTTATATTTTTTATTACATTTTCTTATTTAATCTGTAAAGTGTTGTTTCTTTCATTTTTAAAAGAAAAATATTCATTTGTGGTAAAGGGACCAATGGTGGGCGCCTTGCCCCAAGCCCATGGGCCCATTGCCCCAGGGGTGGGGCAATGGGCTCATTTGACACTTTTTACAAAATAGTGTTTCATTAAAAATTGAATAAACATATAGGTGTCTAATTCACATCATATATTCCTCATTAGTTGTACCTTTAACCAAAACAAAGAACCACCTCGAATCAATTAAAACTTCATCAAAAATTTAGTTTAAAAAAAAGGGGGGGGGGCGCGCTGCCCCATGTTGCCCTACTAAGAATAATATGCGTTTAGAAATTACTTTTTAAATGCAACATCCTGAAGAATCCAGTGTCTCCGACGTTACACATGTACAATAAATTTCTAATTTTATTTGCAAATATTAGAAAAAAATTAATTTTAAATTTTTTTTTTTAAATAGAAAATAATTATATTTTCAAAATTATTTATTCTGTCAATTGATTCATGCATTCTCTCCAACTTTACGCAAGTGTGCAAAATTTCAGATCGATTTAAAAAGTAGAAGTGTGTTAAGTATCGATTATAAGATTTGTAGCAGACAAACAAACAACAAGAAGTGAAGTTAAAGAGAAGTGTTGTAAAAAAGTACAGTGCATTTGTAACAACCCAAGATATTAGAAAATTTCTAACAAACCTCTGAATTTATACGGCCAAGCCACGCAACGTAATCGAAAAAATAGTTTATTATAGTATGTGCTTGAATTCAACATTGCGCACTGCTTACGAGCTGACTTTTACAGACAGTGTACCTGTGCTAGCTTCATAACTATAACTAGCTTCATAACTAGCTTACCGAACCATTAGTAGTTTGACAATATTATATTTTTCATAGTTCAATTAAAGGTAATCTACTTCATATATTATTTAGATCATAATATAGACTTCTTGTACTAGTTTTTATAGCACTATTTTTGATATTGTTTCTATAGAACCGGTCAGTAATCGACCCGAAAGCTTTGTCTTTTTTTACTGTCATATGTGAAACTGAAAAAAACTGTCATCAGTGAACGCTATATGTAACTCTGAACTGTCATCAGTGAACGCTATATGTAACTCTGAACTGTCATCAGTTATTAACACAGTCAATAATGTTAAGTACAGGTTAAGGACAGGTTAAGGACAGGTTAAGGACAGGCTAAGGACAGGTTAAGGACAGGTTAAGGACAGGTTAAGGACAGGTTAAGGACAGGTTAAGGACAGGTTAAGGACAGGTTAAGGACAGGTTAAGGACAGGTTAAGGACTTTACCTCCCTATTTACAGTTACTAGTTACCTCCCTATTTACAGGTACAAGTTGCCTCCCTATTTACAGTTACAATTTACCTCCCTATATACAGTTACAATTTACCTCCCTATATACAGTTACAAGTTACCTCCCTATTTACAGGTACAAGTTACCTCCCTATTTACAATTAAAATCAACTTTAGTATGTATTGCTAAAAAATATTAACCGTTAAACAAGCCACTGAGAAGTAACTGAAATGTTCAACGCAAAATCCGTAGACTTCAGTTGATTTGTCGCTGTACAGGAGCTATATTTTTTATATATTCTCTCTATATTTTTACATGTTATTTTTTTGGTCGTGGACAGCGATGCCTATAAGTAAGATAGGCAGAATATATATAGGCAACGCTACCTAACTAATTTTGTAGGCCTATAGTAGACGTATTTTATATCAACTAGACAATTTTTTAGTTCACTAACTACTAGCAATAAGGGATATATAAATTATTAGTTAAAGTAACACATATAACATATGTGAAATTTGTGACATATTATCAGCTTTACATTGTACACTATATACTGTTATTATACATTACATGTTATATATAATGAATTATTTGTTACATATCATAATAACAAATTTATGATGCGGGGTGGGGCAGAGAAACTTGCTTATTTGAAAGATATATTATAACAAAAGTATTGAATATATACAAATGAATTTTATAGTAGCATATTTAGAAACAATTAAATATTAAAATTTATAAATTTTAAAGATGATATCACGCAAATGACATCATTAATTGTCAATATATTGTGTAAATGTAACGCTGCTGCAACATGTCATGTAACGCTGCTGTAACATCTGTCTCTTATACACATCTAGATGTGTATAAGAGACAGGCTGTAACATGTCATGTAACGCTGCTGTAACATGTCATGTAACGCTGCTGTAACATGTCATGTAACTCTCCTGTAACATGTCATGTAACGCTCATATGTAACTGCCTTCTCATTTTCTTTTAATAACCAGGGACATATTATTACAACTCGAGATGTTTCGCACCAAACAGTCACACGTTGCGAGTGTGTCATGGGGTGGGGTGGGGAGCGATAATCCCGGTTACGGTAGGGGGTGATGAAAATGATGGTGGTGATACGGTTATATTCGAGGTCATACAAGGTCATAGGTGAAGTTATTCACGCTTGTTTGCTCCTGCATGAATAAAGAATTCACGAATGAATGAACAATTCACTGAATAAATAAAGTGAATAAAGAATCCACTCTCCTGCGTCGAGAAAAAAGCCCTAATACACGCAGCCTTACGAGCAACGAAGTCCCAAGGAATCAGTTAATAATAAATACCATATACCATATACCATATACCGTATACCATATACCGTATACATATACCATTTACCATATACCATATACCGGATACCATATACCATATACCGTATACAATATACCATATACCGAATACCGTATACCATATACCATATGCCATATACCATATACCATATAACATATACCGTAAAGTCCCGCCCGCATTAATTATACCGGTATTAAGTTTTTTTTAAGTATTTTATTTTCTCCTTTTTAGTCCGTTGCTACACATGAAAAACGTTGTTGCGAACCAATTTACTTGACTTGATGTACGTATCGATGATACGCAGCGTATCATCGATATACGCAGTCTAAACACGAATATCCTCCCGAGGATGACGTGCATTAAAGGTTCCCAACCCCTGCTTGTGAGTTCCTTTAGAGTTTATAACTACTGCACAAAGGTCAGCCATCCTACATAATATTCATTTTATTTCAGTTGGCCACGCAAATGCACGAAAGAAAATTCTTTTCGAAGTTCTGTAGAAAATTGTATTCGAGGGGATACATTGTTGTTCCCGTATTTATTTGGGGGCGTGGCTGTAATAAAGAAAGGTTCGGTAATGAAAGACATTAAAATACGAGAAAACTAGCAATGAACGAACGGCGCTAACTGATGATAATATTAGTTAGGCAAGCGGGTCCTGAAATGGTCTTGTATTTAAGCCAGGCTTTGCTCGCCAACACAACATCGGCGGCGCACCGCGTCAACGCGGCAGCGGCGTCCACAATTTCTCGGTCGACATTTCATTGAATAAATACGCCTGGAAACGCGCAACAAATTATTGATTATTGTATTGTCATCGGGAGCTGAGCTTCCCTAAAAGTTTCAGAGCGCTAGCTAGCGGGAAAGTTGGTGAAATATCTATTGCAAGATTTGATCATCACAAACAGACAGACAGACAGACGGTCACGAAAGCGAGCTAAGAAAAACGTGGTAAAAATAGTCGACAGCTTTCAACAAAATTATTTGGTATGCAAAATTACGGCGACGGTTCACCTCGTCCTTAAATTATTGACATATATGGTTAGAAATCACGTGTTTGAAATGTATAAATTGAAATTTTCATTATATAGTGAATGTCACTTATTTCTTCAGAAAATGTCCGCAGACTTTTAATTACTCACTCATCTCACTCCACAATTTGTCGTAAAGCCTCGAACATTCTGCTCTCCAGCTTCTCTCAACCTTCACTGAATTACCATTACTTCTCCCACAACCATTGGTATTGAAGCCAACTTCTCGTTTCCCACTTTCTCCCTAAGACGGGATCTCCAATTCTTTTTCTCTGTAATTTGTCCTCAATACAACTTTTTATTTCCTATATTCTATTTAGCCAAGACTCAACCACTAATCCTTCAAGATTTTGATACCACAATACCCTTTCTCGTTTCGGGCGTTGTTCTTCCTAGCCAAGAAATAATCCCCCACAAGACGCTACTTGCTCACTATAACAGGCACTTTATGTCCACTGCTTGTGCGTTCATTGAGTTGGGTAGCATGAGAAGGAGTTCGATCCATCAGCCAGTTACCCGTGGCTTAACAATCGCAGACACTTCACGCGGCACGAACTCCTCCTGTTCCGAGACGCTGGATTTTTAGATGAGACGAAGTGCAGGAGCCTAGTTCCTCCAAGACCGCGACAGCAGGTGATCAATGATTGATGACAAGCTTATGAGTAAATTATGAATCGCCAGTGGCATGTTGTAACGGTTCGTTGGCTACTATAAAATATAAAAGTTTTCAAATGTGAATGAAACTCATATCCCACATATAAATGTAATTAGGGTTCGTGAAAAATAAAATTATTTCAAACCAGTGTATTTATAATCCCATTTAGAAGCCCCATCTTACAGTCGCAACTTCACAACTTTCATAAGATCAAATTGCCTCATAACTTGGTAGAATGCTATAAGTATAAAATTAGTAATTATTTATACGTAAATAATAGAGTATTGCAATCATGATTCAGGTCCATTTAACAGTTATGGCATAAATAAAGTACTAAACTAACAACATTATAAATACAACAATACGTTAACAGCAGCAAAGGAGTTATATTATAACAATATCAGATTAGAGTGTCCAAGATCACTCCAGTCAAATTGCTCAATTACATTAATTTCAAGCTTTATAATGCACTGGAAACTATCACTAAAAGCTGCAAATAGCGGCCGAGTTGCGCATACACAGAAGATACATTTCTTAACTTTGGAATTATTCTTTACAAATAAGAAATATATATCAAATTTCATGAAGAACAAGTAGCGGAAAAGTCCATAATGCAGCTAGGTCGCGGCGCCGAGGCTGAGCCTGGTGGCCATCTCATGCAGGTTCTGCGGGACGTCTTCGTGGTAGCAGACGTAGACCTCGCGGCCACCGCCCAGCACGCGCCTGTGGACGGCACCAGTACGCGTCATCACAAGCACTGTGGCATGGGTCGCGGTCTTGTCTTATTCTAGGAATACTTTACGACATTCACGTCATCACAAGTACTGTGGCATGGGTCGCGGTCTTGTCTTATTCTAGGAATACTTTACGACGTTCACGTCATCACAAGTACTGTGGCATGGGTCGCGGTCTTGTCTTATTCTAGGAGTACTTTATAGTGGGAGAGTAGTCGTACAGGCGGTAAGCGAGCGTCAAGGGAGTGGCAAACTAGTGTCCAACAAGTTTATAACTGGATCCAAGATAGTTTTAAGCTAGTCTAATACCCTATAAGTTTCTAATAAAATTTAATGAAGTTTTACACACAAACTTCAACATCTTATACAACTACTGGTGTTAAGTAGAATAAGGTAAATTTCAAAATCTAAACTCAGGTTTAGAACGCAAAAATAATTAACTCGTCGTATAAAAGTTCAACAAGTCCTAAAAGTTTAAATGCATTCAAACAAATGAACCAACAAACTTCTAGTGAAACATTTTCCTTCGCTAATCCATAGACCCGAAGACTAGAAAATTTCGATAGAAAATCCTCGCAACTCTCACCCAACGACCCAGTAGTTGAAGACGGGAGCGGCAGTGCGCCTCTTGCTGCCGCCAAGGGAGGAGGTAGCGACATCGTCTCCTGGACTACAAGAAAAAAGCATCCCGTGTTCCCTTGCTCCTTCTTCGGCGCCTTCTTCCATCTGAATGAACGCAGCAATTATTTCAGATCAAACACCATGCAGTGAATCAAAGACTGAGTGGCACTGATCAACAAGCGCTGTTTTCTAACCATCTCGATATTCCCCGGAAATTAACGGTCATAAAAATCATTAGAACTCATCAAGGAGTTATCAGACGACGTGTTCAAGTTTGTTTCTCAATTACTACATATAGAAGCCAAATAACGATCATTATATTGACTTGTGTCCAAGATTAAAACTTGACAAATAAAATAATAAAAGCAAAGAACTAATTATCTCAGCATAAATTATCTCTTACATTGCTCAGAAAATGTTCGGCGAAAGTAACTGAAACCTTTTATAAGGTCTCCTCAGTAGAATCATTCAAGGAGGCCAGAACATAAGACAAGCAGGACATATAAGGGCCGGACATTGTACATGATCCTCTGAAGAAATAACGATGCAGGTGCAGCGTCGGTACCAGTGCACCTGCACCTGATGCAGGTGCACTCACCACGCAGAAGAGGGCGGAGTGCAGCACCTGATGCAGGTGCACTCACCACGCAGAAGAGGGCGGAGTGCAGCATGTTCCCAAAGTGGGCGATATCGCCCCCCTAGGGGCGATGGAAAGATTTTGGGGGGCGGTAAAGAAGAAGAGGGTGATAGGGGGGCGATAGAGGGGCGATGGAGGGGCGGCAGTCCAAAGTCGAAGTCAGAAGTTCGAACGTTTGTTTGACGATTTCTACACAACACGTGCAGCACATGACTCCCAGTGGTGGTTTTTTCACCCAGGTCTGTTTTTAGCGCATTTTCTCATTTATGGAAAAAATGCAGTATTGTGCTCGCGATGTCCGTCCGTCTGTCTGTCCGCCTGTCTGTCCGTCCGTGACTTCACGTTTTCGTCGACGAGTAAATGCGCTCTCTGTCACTCACTGCAGTGAGTACCGAGTTATATTTTTTTAACCTCTCCTGGGTTTACGTTACCGACCAATTAACGGCCGGACTCGCGGCCGATCTCACGGCCAATTTCCAAAGTCAATGAACAAGGAATATCTCTCAAACTAATGAACTTAACTCGATGAAACTTGGTACACGTATTCATTAGGACCTTACAGTAATTTAAAGCTCGCGAAATTTTTTTGAATTTTTGCATTCAATTGTTTTTGCCATAGTTATATGTCAATACGGGGCAAAATTCACATTGATCAAGGAATTTCTTCCAAACTACTGAACAGATTCGAACGAAATTTTGAATTTACAGTCCTAACTACCGAACGGTGATGTTTAGCTCGTGAAAATTTTTTTCGATTGTGCCTTCGTTGGCGAGTTTCATTCGTGATTTAAACAGCAATACGTGCTTAAATTCGCACTCATAAAGAAATTTCTTCCAAACTACTGAACGGATTTGAACGAAATTTAGTATTTTAATACCTAACCTCAGCAACGGAGATGTTTAGCTCGTTACAATTTTTTCGTTTTGCCTTCGTTTGCTAGTTATACGGCTATACGTAAACGGCTCTTGGTTAAACCAGCCGTTAGAAAAGCCGTCGTTCTTCCTACCTATATCTGTATAACTTGCGAACGAAAGCGAATAAGGAAGAGTGAAATCAAGAATGACGGTGAAATGAAATAAATCTCGCAAACATCGGTAAAATCAAAAAATTTTTTAATCTAAAAAACACCATTTGATAGTTAGGAATGTATATTCAAAATTTCGTTCAAATCTGTTAGGTAGTTTGGAAGAAATTCTTTGATCACTGCGAATTTCGGCCTGTATCGCAATATAACTCACGAATGAAGGTGATATTTTAAAAATTTTCGTAAGCTAAACATCACCGTTAAGTTCTGATGATTACATGTTCCAAGTTTTATTGAGCTGCGTTCATTAGTTTCGTTGATATTACTTGATAATTGAATTTGGAAATTGGTCGTGAGACTGGCCACGAGTCCGGGCCGTAAATTGGCCCGAGACGTCCTAGGTTTCTAGTGCTGAAACAGTTAAAACAGCTGAAAAACATATTGGTTCGCTAAAATGGGCTCTATTTGTGAAATACACATTCGTGTTTAACCTATATCTTTTAAAATTGCAGCGTACTAAATTTTATAGAAAGAGGCGCATGAGATTATATGTGTCTGTGGGGGGCGCTTGAAATTTTCAGGGAGCCAAAGGGGGCGCCAGCCTGAAAAAGTTTGGGAACCACTGACCTAGTCATACTAAATGCAATCGTAATAAATTATTATAAATGGTAATAATTGTTAAACGGTTAAATTACCTGATGGTGGAGACCGGCAGCTGGCACAACGTTGTGGGGCTGTCGGGGTCAGAGCCCCGCAGGCTGGGGGGAGGAGTGCTGCCCTGAAAATGAAGAGTCATGGAAATAATTACAACAACCTGCCTGTAATTCAACCTGTACATAAAAGTTACACTTCTCCTTAATCTTACCCTTTATAATGTCTGTACGGTATTAACTGAGATGCACCCAAGTACTCGGGAATAATCACACCCACCCGCCAGAGGCGCCACTGAGATCCTTCGGCCACGTCCTCGACGCTGGTCTCGTCGTCCTCGTCCTCCTCACCGACGAGCTGCCCTGGGGGCGGCTGGTACAGGAACTCATCGTCGCCCTCAGCGTCGCCGTCAGCAGGCGGCCGCTGCTTCAGGATGGACGGCACGTCGGGCACCAGCGACGCGGCCGGCAGCGCTGCGCGACAAATGAAATCTCCAAGCAAATATTCACAGAACATAAAGTCTAGGGCGCAAGGATTTCACGCTAGAATGGAATTTACTTGGCTAAAGAAAAAGTATTACAACAGACGACTAGAATAAGTTGACTATCACTCTCGTCAACTCAGATTAAGGATAAAAATCGATGATAAAATTCTATACCAGTGAACATCCAAGTCATATGCAACAATCAGGGAACATTTGCTTTACTCTTCAATATTCTCAGAGAAAATTTGCTTCTGAAACCTAAGATTAGGGCCAAACGTTAGACAACTAAATGTTTGAACTGCTAATTAAGGCTCTATGATTATACTTGATTTTAGGGCACGTTTACATTTCTCGATGGCGACTTTAACTTTTTTACTCTTCATGAAGAAGTTGTAATTGAAATCGTACATCCGAACTAAAAATTTCTGCACCAAAACAAAAATAATAGAGCGCGTAAATAAATCGGCGAGCAGCAGTCACCCGTGGGCGCGTCGTTGCCCTGAGCGTGACGGCCGCCGTCGCCGCTGCCGCCCTTGCGCCCGGCGCCCGTCAGCGCCGCGTAGCGCTCGTCTGCGCTCACCACCTCAGGGCCGCCGCGTGACAGGCTGCACAAATACAAGCCATTAACATTATTATTATGGAGAATAAGATGCGTGTAACTTTACAGGGCCGCCGCGTGACAGGCTGCACAAATACAAGCCATTAACATTATTATTATGGAGCATAAGATGCGCGTAACTTTACAGTGCCGCCGCGTGACAGGCTGCACAAATACAAGCCATTAACACTATTATTATTATGGAGAATAAGATGCGTGTAACTTTGCATGACGTGGCCTGTATAGTTGAGTGCAAGCCCATCTCTATGAGCACGAGTTAACTGGCTCCCCGCTCTCTCTTGTTCACTCTGAAATGGGCGTCGCATCACATAATTCTTGAGACACTTAAGAATGAAGCACTTAGAGATTTGTTCCTTTGAACGAATAGCATAAAATGGGCGTGAAGAAATCTCGGCTCAGGTTTAAAATTGTCAACACGTCCCACGAAACTATAGAAGCACAAAAGAAACAAAAATATAACTCAGTACTCACTGCAGTGAGTGACAGAGAGCGCATTTTCTCGTCGACGAAAACTTGAAGTCACGGACGGACAAACAGGCGGACAGACAGACGGTCAGACAGACGGTCAGACAGACGGACGGACAGACGGACATGGTGAGCGCAATAGTGCATTTTTTTCATATATGAGAAAATGCGCTAAAAAGAAGCAAATTTTGGTGCACAACACAATTTTAACATATTGACGCATGAATATAGAATTGAATTTTGATTCAAATGATGTTCTTTGAAGTAAATTTGGATGCAGTAACATTCAGGTGAGATGTAAACCGAACAATAGTATAGTCACAACCTAAAAATTTCATGCGGGCATAGAAAGTGCCGTCGTTTCAATTTAATTATAAAATTAATAAAGAGGTGAATAAACAAGGTTTCGCTTATGAAGTGCCTACGATTAATTAAGTTACGAGCTCACATTTTCACCAAAACTTTGCATTTTTAGAAAGCTGAAGCATTTGTAGAACACATAGAACACATTATAGTAGTGGCAGGGCAAGGGACGCACCTCTCCTGACAGAGGGCGGGCACGTGGAGGCTGTGCAGGTGGAACAGCGTCGCCTCCACCTGATCCACCAGCAGCGGGTCCGGGCCTCCTCTATATGGCCCTTCCCTTGGAATCATATTTAGCGTTTAAAAAAATTGTCTTTACATGACAGAAAGTTAATAAATTTTATGGCAACATAGCATCAAGCTAAACATTTTTAGCTCTACGATTCCAAACTGTGAGTGTATGTGTATAATGAGATCAAAGACCTTAGCGGAAGCGACGTCTTCATATCATTCATAAGATAATATCCTTCATAACTCAACACAAAAAGGATATAGTTTGCCACGGCAGAGTGGCGAGAGGGGCTCACCTCTGAGGCTCAGAATCGTCCAGCACCAGGGCGATCATCATGTGGTTCTGCAGCACAAAATAATGAGTCAAGTTATTGAAATGACAAGACGCACAAAAAATTATGACAGTCTTAATTTTACAGTATGAATCATCGAGGAAGCTAACATGAGATTACGATTAGCAGCGAAGGCAGACAAATAATGAGCAAGACCCGATTCTATCCTAATACTAAATTTAAACAATAAAAAAATAAAATTAATTCTTTCACAGACGTGACCAAATGATCATACTTGATTAGACGAGTCCTTATAATAATTGACTTTGTTATAGCCCAGCCTAATGATAAGGTGGTTTCATAAAGTCAAAATAAGGCGGCCAAATGACAGCATGAACACTTCACCGATGTAGCCGAGTTTTGCAATGCTCTAATAATAGAAAGCAATAACTCGCAATGATTATTTCATTAAAAGCCTTACTTAGATTCACAGTTTATTCCTATTTCATTTTCTATTTGATTACATAAATAATCATCGGCGAGACAGTTCAAGATAATGACTATTCTCATATTGATCAACCGCCACGGCTGGAGGAGACGTGAAACTCAGAGCAGCTCATTTCCTTAACAATTAAACGTGGAATTTCCCGACATCATTTCTTTCTTGAAGCATGGAATTTCCCGACATAATATTTTTAGTGAGGCATCACCGCACCATGGCAACGAGCAGCAGCGACGCAGGATCGTCAGGACCCTCCTGCAGGGGCAGACAAACGCTCCTGTATGCGATGAGCTGACTGACTGCCTCGACCGCCGTCAGCGACAGGAGGCCGTGCAGACGAGCGTAGCCATACACGGCATCCAGACATGGCGGCGGTAGGTGGGAACACACCACGTGACCCTGCCCACAACATCAGGTGTTAGTTCTTCGTATATAAGAAATAAGAATACATTAACATTCATCTTTGCGTACATTAGCATTCAACAATGAGATTCGTACCTCAGGAGCTGATAATTACCATCGTGATAGATATTCGTATCTGAAGAGTTGTCTATTAGAGTTACCATTAATTGGGAAGCGTCAAGCGTCATGTAAATGAAGTTTTTTTTTTCAGGTAAAACCTCAACTGAACGTGTGTACTCAACACACGTTCAGTTGAGGTGTGTTGAGTGTTGAACGTGTGTTGAACGTGTGTACTATCATTCAACTGAACGTGTGTACTCAACAAAACTCTTCAGAAAGCATAGATTGAATGCGGCCAGCGCTGGAGGCAACTGTAATACGGGGCAACGGATGCTGCTACACCTTGTACAGCAGTGTTTGTGGTGCAGAAGGCTGCTGCACTCGTCACCTTGTACAGCAGTGCACAGCCATGTATGTGGTGCAGAAGGCTGCTGCACTCATCACACTCTGCGTCAGAGTCCCCGAAGTCACCGGCCTCGAGTTCGCTGAGGCAGCTGTCGACCTCCGCCCTGACGCCGCCCCCGCCGTCCTGCAGCAGCACCCACGGAGGCGCCCCCAGCACCGCCCACGCGCCGCTGCTGCTCACTGTGCCTTCAGGGGCGCTGCCCTCCGCCCTGTCATCGTAGCAGTTAGCAGCGTTTAGTTACGACCTCATGACAGCTATCGCTATTGTCGTAATTATTTACACCATAGTAATTCAAGGACTTCTTCAGTGGTGAATGAAGTTTGGTTTTCAAGTCGCCTGCCTACCCGAGTTACTCGTTACAGAGACACTTCAATTGAGTTAACAGTTAGGTACTGCCTAACCACCATTCTATGATTGATGTGGTGTTGCTCATTGAAATTTAATAACTAAATAACCGATCTTTCCATGAAAAGAATATTTATTAGACAGTTGATGTTACTGCAAATGCTAAGATGAGAAAAACAGACCATGAATTGAAGAGGTCACAAAGATGCTATGGACGCATATTGCATAATAGATTGTCTAGCATCGAACGTATACTATTAATATCAAATTGTGTCCCGCAACACAACATAGCAAAAATATCAGGGCTAAGTAATCCATTGTAGATGTTATATTGCAAAAAGAATTCTCACATGCTTCTGAAGTAGGAGTCGAGCTTGGGGAGCCTGGCGGTGGAGGTGGGGATGTAGTTATGGGGGTGAAGGTAGTGCGTGGTGGGGAGGGAGGTGGAGGGCAAACGGAAGGCGGGGTGGAGAAGAGCCCTGTGTTCAGGGGCGTGCAAGAGACTGCAGAAGACCTTCCCCATGAGGTGGTCGACGTAGCCGTGTTGGGAGGCGTCGCCCGCCGACCTGCGCGGTGGCCGGTGATTAACATCGAATAATTGCCGTAAGCAATACAATGGCATAGTCGGCATAGCAGATACAATGGCAGTCGGGGTGAGATGAACAACCGAACCCAAATTAATGAACAAGGGAATGAGTTAATTCACAACAATAAATCTCTAAAGCACGGCTCATTCTTGGTCGCATATTTTCCTGGGCCAATATTCTATTGACTCGCTCATTACATTTCTCTGACATGCATTTGCTAAGGCTTCCCAGCACCCAAGGGCACTAAGTGTTTACTTATCAACTCTAGAACAGCTTCAATCCTTGCTGTAAAATAAATAAATTTAAATTCATACATGTAATTAATCTCCCACACGTAAAAATCATTTCACAATCATCATGTAACCTTAAAATGTCCACAAGATTTACGTCCTTTACAGCATTAAATACACATCCATTAAATACTTTGTTGTAAACGCAAGCAGTTTATACTCTAGGGAATTATTCTAACCGCAAACACAATAAAAAAATTATGTGTTCATATAGAAACATACAAGAGCAAAATACGAGTTAGGTTTGTAATAAACGAAGCAGCAAGCATGCAAGTAATGGGCTTAAGAGAAGACTGTGTGACACGGTCGGAAAATCTACTACATTGCAAGATTACAATGAAGACAATAGTGGTTGTTAATCAAAGGCTTATTGAGAGACGGTCTGAATGTGAATCAAAGGCTTATTGAGAGATGGTCTGTAACTTTAAAACTGTAAACGAGTTCATAGTGAACTTTAAAATAGCAATTATCTATAATATGTTCGTAACTTCGTAACATTCACAGAGAACCATATTGAATCGAAAAGAGAACATATTGAACTCGCCCAAACAAATCTTATTATTCAATGTACGGATGACGCAAAATGTAAACAGGTTTTAGAAATATAATTTAGTGGGTAAGAAAAAAGATGTGATCCAGGGTCCAGCCAAAACAAAGAGAAACAGCATTATGCAAGCAATGATTCAACATTTAGAGAAGTACATGAAACATAGACTAAGACAACTAATAGCAGTAAAGGAGTGCGTTAAGGGGGCACGAAGCCTATCAAGGGGTAATGATGGCATGGAAGTGTTGCTAAGTCATGTGTTTTCTGACGACAGATCTCGTTACAAGGCCTTAAAAAATAAATAGCAATGACAATAGTTGATGTATATGCGAAGGCTTGAAGACTAATGAGGCATTAATGAGGCCTGATTAACCATCCTCCTTCGGAGATTAGCGCCACTCACTTGGCCAGCGACCCGAACTCAAAGCAGAGGTCGTCGGTGACCCGCCGGCTGAGGCAGAGCAGCTCGTGCTCGCTGCAGCTGCGGGGGCAGGTTATGGGTCAGGGGGGCACCTGATGGCACCGGGCCAGGGGGCGTGGACCGGGGGCGGGGAGTGGATGGGAGAAGGGACAGAGGAAATGGGCGAAGGCAGGGGACACGAGCAAAGGACTTTACCAGTAGACATGAGTAGAGAGCATGAGCAGAAAGTATGAGCAGTGGTCATGGATATATGATCACAGGAAGACTACAAAACAACAAAATCAAAACTTTAGCATTAGGAGGAAAACTACAGTGAATGACAGGACATACGAGCTGTAAAGCATATTCAATTCAGTGCTGAAGGCATCACAAAAAATACAAAATGACAAACGATCAATAAGCACACAACATCAGATGCGCAAGCTTTCAACATCCAAGAACATTAATTATTTTAATTAGAGCAAACTAACACTAGGACATTCCTAAAACTAGATGCATGCAACAGTGGGGACAAGCTAGTGGTGGATAACAAACTCCTTGCAAATTACGAGAAGATATTCTCTTGATTTAATAATCACAGCCACATTAAAGTGAGGTCACTCAAGCAACGATTCATTACAAATTAACGGTGGTTTAATAAGTGATTAAAATTATTTCTTTTGCAAGGGCATGGCAATGACCCAGAGTAAGACTCACTACGCCAGAGGCATGGCCATGATCCACACCAGGTCCTCCTCCCGCCCGTAGGCCACGTGTACGACCTCACCGTCGCTCAGCTGCACGCGGCTGCTGCTCAGCAATGAAAAGCTTCATTGCAAGAGAAGAAAGTAACGAGTTTATTATAGGATAGAATCCCTTGATACTCGTTCATGTGAGAGGCGGGATGAAAAAAACATCGTCACTGACACAATGCTGCAGTATCTAGCGGGGAACGTCCTGGTGGGGTGTGGTGCAGTACCTGGTGGGGTGGTGGTGGAGGGTGTGGGCGAGGGTGAGGAAGACTCCCCGGGCTCTGAGGAGGCGGCTGCTGCCATGGGGGAACTGATACCTGCACGCCACGTTATCAGTATAGTAGCAAACAACAAAACATGATGCAGGGATGTGTAAAATCTTACCATGAACTATAGAAAAAATTTTAATCAGTGTTTAAAGGAATTTGAATGTTAGGAATCAAAAATCAAATGGATAAATTTGTGAAATAACACTCTCAAAGATGCAAAAATTGTAATTCTTTCATTTTGTTGTAGTTAAAAAGTTAATGTAGAAGATACGGCGCTTTGATAGTGGAAAAATTATACTAGGAATCGCTCACGTGAAAAACGCTTGATGGAAGAAAAAATATATGGTCATGTTTTAAAACTTCTCGCTGAAATAAATGATAGAAACTAATCCCTGTTTTCTTTGAAATAAATTATAATAAATAGAATAAAAAAACAATTTTAAAAAAGGCAATGTGTCTATCCACTTTTGAGACGCTCAAGTTAAAGACCAGGCAACAGATGATGCCAATTAATAGGTAAATAGGAGAAATTGAAATAGTAATCAGGCAATTAATCGAGATTGATCGGGCAGCAATGAGACCTGATGTCAGCGCCCTCGGGAGAGCTGTCGGTGACACCGGTGAGTGACAGCAGCAGCGCCACGTGCGGAGGGGCGCCCTTCACAAGATCGTACGGCAGCGCAACTGCAATCAGGAGATAAACATAAACAGGAGATAAACATAAACAGGAGATAAACATAACATCGTCGGGCAGTTCATGACGTACATAAACTCGTAACTTGGAATGTTTTGTAAGTTGAAAGTTGTATTAAAATCTCAAGAGCATTTTGAACACGACAAATTTGCCGGTAGCCTGGGTGTACACTGTACTGTCAGCTGCTGATAAGGAGGTCGTCAGGAGGAGGTAGGGAGACCGTCAGGAGGAGGTAGGGAGACCGTCAGGAGGAGGTAGGGAGACCGTCAGGAGGAGGTAGGGAGGTCGTCAGGAGGAGGTAGGGAGGTCGTCAGGATGCAGGTAGGGAGGCTGTCAGGAGGAGGGTGTCAGCATAATTATAGGGGCAGCAGTGGTGCCGCGTCATCTCACCAGGAGCTGTGCCGTTGACGTGCTGAGCGGCAGAGCCCCGCGTGCTGTTCAGCTCAGCAATGCTGTGTCCGGTGATGTGCTTCACGAGCTGAGTCTGCGTGATGCGCTGAAGCATCACAAATTAGCACAGATTATATGACTACAAACTGATCATTCTTATTGCTGTGTTTGCATGCAAGTTATTTAGCAAATCATAATTTGATAAAAATATTTTTACATTGATATTCATTCCAACATAGTAGATATCCACCACATATTTTATTCCAAAATGCTATCATTAATAGATTTTTAAATTATAAATTGACTATTTTAAAAATGACGAAATCGTTGATCCATGGCTTCCAACACTAAAGAAAGGCTCAACTGTAAATGAGGAATTTTAGTTTTAATATCTCTGTATCTATGTACTGTACCTGTATAATCTAATTTAATCAGGTTTCATTGAAGACCAGAGAATTTGTTTTATTGACAATTTTATTATTAGTTTTTTTTTCAATATATCAAACAATATTTTTCGTTGGCGTCGGGGCATCGCATGACGACGCTGGTGCACTCCTCCAGCACCGTACGAGTGATGGTCTCGTTGTGGGCCTGCATCAGGTGGTTCCTTGGTCCACCAGATTGAAGGCGGCACGTGAGACGTCGGCTTATTGTCGTAGTTGTGAGATATATGTGTAGTCCATATGTAGTCCTTCCCAATATGTGTAGTCCATATTGGGGAGAAGTCTACAACCTTCTCTATTGCCGGAAAATCTATAGACTACATTGGTCTCTTGGAAAACTCCCGTTTTTGCAGGGGTTATTCTTCAAAATCTCAAAATCCCAACAAGTCATGTGGACCAGACGGCTTCCATCCCAGATTGCTCAAAGAATTAGCATCCGTTCTGGCCGGCCCATTGACAGTATTTCTTCAAACTATCGCCAGTCATGAAAAGATCCGGTCAAATGACACGAGTTTAGATCTATGAACAAGGCACGAAATGGAAAAGAATCGGCGACAGGCCACATCAGGCCTACACTTCAGAGCCGACATCACTATGTTATGTTATGTTATGTTATTACAAGATTCTTTATTTTCCTGTTTCAAAATAAATCAGTAGTTTAATTTCATTAAACGTTACGTTCACGATGTTGTTGCGGACAATAGATTGAAGGATCCGTTCATCTGCTTTATAAGGGCTGGTCATTTGATTCTCGTAGTAGATGGTTGTGACGTTTGCGTCAGTCTCTGGTTCTTTATTTGGTCTGTTTTGGCTATCAAAGTTCTGAGATTTCTGTGTCGATGATTCTTTGGCAAAACCATTACAAACTAACAATATTGTACGATACATTGAAAAAACCCATAAGAAAATTTTCAATAAAACAAAGTCTCTGGTCTTCAAGAAACCTCCTTAAAGGAAAAAATTCTGCCAACCCATACTAAGTACGGTACCCATCTAATTTACTCCACGAATGTGGGTTTCATCTGATTTGCTCTCCCTTCTGTTTTTCGTTTGTAACTTTATCCACCAGGACATCAATGGAGAAGTGAGCACCCACCTTCCTGTTGCTGTGGTCCTGGTCACTGAGAGTCTCGGAGGCACACTTCTGCAGCCCCAGCGTCACCACTGAGGGCACCTGCAACACAACATCACATTCATACCATCCCTTATTATGATAGCAATACCTGCATAGGAAATTTATGGGGCACCAACAACTGATGCGGCAAAGTCACTAGCAGATGTCACTATTTGCATAAAATACTAGGTACTAATATCAATTTTTGAGCAAAAAATGTATCTCATCAAATTTAATCTCTTCAAAAAGAGATCACTGTTATAAGAAGCTTAGATATACATAATTATCTAGATCAATATTTTATCTAGCAGCTCCAAATAACAGCAACAAAAATAACAGGTCAGCGCGGTACCTGATCTGTCAGAACTCACTCGTATCTCGCCCAGCACGGCATCAATGTTATTCCAGGTTACTTCTCGTCTGTTGATTGCTTTCAGCCAGTCGCCTGGACAACAGAGAGTATTAAAATTTATTTTCTAGTGCGTGATGCATAGTAGAATAGGGAGAACATACAACGTACACTAAATTTAATATCAAAGTCAAAGCAAAGAAAAGTAGCAAATATTTTTGTTAACACGTTTAGTTCGGCTATGGCGCATTCAGTGCATACCGCAATTAACGTGTTAATATAGTTTTTATCTCATCTACAAGGTTAGCACGAACATTTATAATGCTCGCCGTCATCACACGGTCCATCCAAAAACTGCCACAAAAATTAAGCAAGTCTAAAATCTTTCCCCCTCCCCCCAAGTGGGGTTCTACTGCTAACTGCAGTTGCTTGTTCCCAAAGCTTATTCAATGACAGCATTTGGGAACAAAAACTTCCAACTGGGAATCAATAACGATCATTGGCAGATTCAATGGGAGAAAATCCAATCAAGTTCATCATATGGAGCATTCCATGATTTGTATTTACAAGTCTTACAAGCATATTTATTTACATGAATAAGTGCAGAAACTTGATTACCTACAATAAACAAAAAGCTCACCAAAGTAAGAACCGTGGCAAAAATTTATGACATTTATTTGGCAGTTTCCACAGTCTTCCAGCTCATGAGTGGCTTATCATACATGACAATGCAACAATAATCAGCTCAATGGGAAGACCATGATTTTAAAATCATATCCACCAGGTGGGTGCAGCTGACCTATTTTGATGGCATGCGTGGTGTGAGCCTCTGAGCCTGGCAGGATGCCCGCCACCATGATGCGGTCTGTGGGAGGCTCACTGAACCTGCCCGCCACCACGCCCAGCACGGCCTCACACAGCCCACCACGACCATCACCTACACTCACCACCTTCATGCACCAATAGCGGGGTAAGGGCGAAGGTTAATATATTTGCGGATGTGAATGATTAGGAATACAATTTATATTGTATGCTAATTTTGTAATTACACACTAAATCAGGCAATCATGATAGCAAATACAACAGTGTAGAATATATATTCAATACAGAGCCTAATAAATTAGTAGGTACCTACTTAAAAAAGTTAGATGCTAATTTTGAATTAATAGAAATTAAAGAGAAATTTCTGTTGCGCTGAATGAAACATCAGAAGCAGAACTCACATGAAGAGCAACAGTCCTCATCTCGCCACTCCTGTTGTCCCTGAAAGTAACTTTAGGTGCAGGTGATGCATCTCTATTCCTGCACTGACTGCGCTGCTTGTCACCCTTGCTTGAGACAGCTCCTCCTCTCCTGCTGGCCCCCACATCAGCATTACTAGCTTCTGTCTTTGCAGGAGTTTTGGGTACAGACAAAGACAACTTCTCAGATTTGCCTCGGATGCTTGGACGGCGTCTCAGCAAACCAAGAAGCTTGTCTGAAAAGCAACATGGTTTCAATAAACATTGATTTGAAGGAAAGTAATCTAAATGCAATAATTAAAGCATATTTCAAAACTGGGGACTATAAAAATAAAAAATTTAACAAATTTACCACGAGCATTTTGAGAAATAAAGCAGCTTTTTATTACATCAAATAGGATTACTAACTAATGAAAGGTAAGGCTTAGACAATCAGTAAAATTTTCCATGCTATGCGCTAAGTCCCACAGTTTCAACAATATTAAACTAACTTTCTTTCTTGTGGTTTTCCTTGTTGAGCTCTGGTTTAGGTTCGGCTTTTAGAGCCGAGTTCTTCTTCTCCCGAGATGTTCTAATGGCAAGAGCCTGCTTCTCCCTCACTGTACTTGACACGTAAGACTCAATGTAGAGCAAGGAACCATCAGCATTCACATACTCCAGCCACTCAGCTTCTTCATACCTGCAAAAAAGATTATTTACTTAGATATATACCGTATACTTTGTAAAGCTTATTTGGAACAGTGCATAGGAGCATCCAGACAGTGAAATGAACAAAAAATATTCTGAGGTAGCAGTGTTTTACATGTTGAACAGCCAAGGTCACTAGGTCAGAATATGATATCTTATTCCCTTCAATTATCTCTCAATAAAACTATTATATTAATACAAATAAATTCAAATCCTCTAAGCTAAACTATTACTATAATTCAAAATTTTTTTATCTAGATTTTGTGAATCAATATCAGATGTCATAAATAGAATATATACCTACATGTATAAACTCACCCAAAAGATGAATCGTCTGACGATTGATGTTCACAAGAAAAACTTTCAGGTTCACTATCAGACATTTTAGTAATCAGGGTTAAATACAGCTGAAATTGTTTCAAAATTAGAGTTAAGAGTTACATAAGCTCTATTTTGTCACAAATTAGAAACAAATGAATCCATTCAAGTCAACCATATATATATATATATATACATGATGAAGGCATTGTAAGCCACCTGCTGCTCAGCTGCTGAGCTGCACAGTGATTTTCTTTAATAATCTTAGAAATTTAGAATCTTAATTTGCATGGCTCACTCAAGCACTTTCCTCAACAATAACTAGATAGGTATGAAATAACCCACTGTGCAGAGAGTGAACGAAGATTTAAAGACCTACGGCGACGCATTATCGGCAAAATTTTTGCCTTCAGAAGATCTTGCCAACACATTTAGATTGAAATTCTTGCATTTAATATATTTCTCAGTCTTCAGCCAACTATTTAGAAAAAAAGTAAGGTTTCCGGTACATTGGATGGATTACGATGCAGCGAAGCTTGTCCGGAAATCAGTTGCGATGAGTTCCCGCAAAAAATGTAAACAACATTTTTTCGATTGCGTAGTTCCGGTTGCATTAGAGCGGTCAGATTCTTGCCGACACATTTAGATTGAAATTCTTGCATTTAATATATTTCTCAGTCTTCAGCCAACTATTTAGAAAAAAAGTAAGGTTTCCGGTACATTGGATGGATTACGATGCAGCGAAGCTTGTCCGGAAATCAGTTGCGATGAGTTCCCGCAAAAAATGTAAACAACATTTTTTCGATTGCGTAGTTCCGGTTGCATTAGAGCGGTCAGACTGCTTTATTACTTGTTCAGTTGACACTTGCTGTACAACCGGACTGTTTTTAGGGTAAAATTAGTTATTTGGGGTAACACGTGCATGCAACCTTGTAATAAGTTCGTGGCTTGTAAATAGTTCGTCATTACTCAGCGTAAATGGCTTTTCATTTAAAATTACCCGGCAACGCATCTTTAAAATGGCCGGCAATGCTTTGGGCTTAAAAATCCATATATTGCCGACACTGCATCCACCCTCTGCATAGTGGGAAATAACTACCAAGAGCCGCATAGTGGCAAAGCAGAGATTTTTTAGAATCAGTTCATTTTTAATTTCCTCATTTATTCAATATCCAAACCAATTTCTTATGTATGATGATGCTGGTATCCATGATACTTTATTGGTCTACTTATAGGACTCAAAAATGAACTTGAGGGAGAGTCTAAAAAAACTCTATGCTTTGCCACTATGCTTGAAGAGGGAATCTTGCAGCTGCAAAAATGACAGGAAATATTAAGTCATAAATCATGAACTTAAGCCACAGAAAATAGGTACATTAAAATGATTAAACAAGTAACAACTATACTGAAATAACAAAAACTAGTTTAAAAATTTTAAATTACCCATAGAGTACTGCTACTACTGCCATGCCATAGCACAGTCATGGCCACTTTTGTCATATATCTTATAATGTACAGTTAGCTACTACACTGCAACGGTGCAACCTGCAAGTAGACTGAAGTGGTAGAGATTAGAGAACAGACAATCAATCTGTCAGCAACTGTGGTAGCAGTCACTCAGTCAGAAACTAAAATTCTCAAAATCACAAAACAAGTACTACCTAAAATGTTGTTTTTGAAGATTTTCGGAAGCTAACCTTTCTACAAAGAGTACCGTAGCTCACACGAGCGCAATTGGCAGTACCGTAGCTCACATGTGCCCAGTTGGCACTTGGCAGTACCACAGTAATTAGTAGCCTAGGCGGCTAGGCCTAATAGACATGGTCCACTTTGTCTGAGTCTGACGCTGGCAGCAACAAACGAGCAATAGCGGGCGGTTCCACAGCCCGCAGTCCGTAGTTCCGAACATGCAGCTGGCATCACAGTAGCATCAGTTCGGTGTTGAACGTTGCAAGGAATGGTGTGCTCTCAGATTATAGATGATTGTTGACTCGGAAGTTTCTAATTCAATTTTGCATAATGTTACAGTTGTTTTAACCAAAAACAGTGTATAAAGATTTCCAGATGCCGTACAAATACAGGTAAATTATTATAAATGTATTTACAAGCCAATTTGGAGCCAGTAACTTTTATTAAGCTTATTAAGATTGCCCAGTACGCAGTAAGAAAATGAATTAATTTAGTTCGCATGCTGGGATTTTTGTTGACAATGATGCGTGTCAAGTTGTATGATGAGTCCAAAGTGAAATTTTATATTTTTAATTCGAAAGGAAATTTTTAAACAAAACGCCTAACTTTTCATCAGCTAACGTATCACAGCTCCTGATTGGGTTAGTTAAAAATAAATCATGAATCGAGGACATGAGTATTATTGACGACTATTATTTAGAAAATGGTTTGATTGTTTGAGCATTCTAGTAAATAAAAAACAAACTTTGAACTATGAGACGATATATCTTATGTTATCTTTTATAAATCGTTAAAGCGCTCGTCTTATCTTCGGTCGTTTCTAACTTCATTGCCTATTTCAATTTCTAATAATTATAGAATTTCTCGTGGATGTTTTAATTAATTTGTTTTTGAATTTTGAAATGAATAATATCCAATTTAATTATTGACTCGCTATGATATTAGCTCCTTTTATTACTGTCATAAAATATTTGTGGGGTAGCCAGCGTAAATTTACAAAACCTAGAGAAATTTCTTTAAGCTTTTTGGTCGGATTTTATCATACGTTTGTATATTTATTGAAGACTGACACCGTGTATGTGTAGAGGCTGTTCGAGCGTATCCATAATACTCGTCGTGTCGTGATAGCACTTGGACTTGGAAACGTATTTCTACTTGGAGAATTGAAAGTCATTACTAAGCTGGGAGGAAGGGATTCGATAGAAAATTCCATTTTTGATTTGTCATTTATAAATTTCATTTAAATGATGCGAAATAGTTTCTTTTCATATTTTGAAATGTAAGTAAAATGAGAGCTCTATGTTGCATATAAAATTGTTAGTTTGAAATGGTATTCCTTTCATTGCGCGAAAAATATTCTTTGTTTTAATTTGATTTGAGATAACGGTATTCAAAAATTAAAGAGACTGTTGATCCCGGGTGACTCCGGGCTAACCTGCATGTGAGTTATAGGCTTCAGATGCTCTTTATGTTAATAAAATGCGATTGCCTGAATAATAGGACATCAAATATTGGATTAAAAATTTTTACAGCATTCTGAAATTCTTCATTTATGAACGCATGAATAAAGTCATGAAATAACTGTTTAAATTGATGTTGTTGAAGACCTTCTAGAATTTAAAGAATTGACGAGAATATCAGAACGTTGCTAGAGGACGCTGCTTCCGTGACAGTGACAGCAAATAAACATCGATGGTTAGGGGCACAGCTGGGCAGAGGTCATCGAGCTCTCGCTCGCTGTAGTAGCTGCGTGTAATCTCGTGTACTGCTCAACATTAATTAGCAATCGTGACGTAATGTGTGAGCAGTGATCAAGCGAGTCGTACGCTGGCTACCATTCTTCTCGGAGAACGTGACCGCGGCCTTTGTTTGTTATAGGCTAACATGGAGAACGCAATATTTGAGGCGTGCGCTGACACGCACATTCAAATGGCAGAATTACGCATAGACGCGCGTGCTCGAGCTAAAAGTTCTGCCAGTCCTCACGTGTCTTCATTCGTACGTGTATGGGGCCTACAATTAAATTCTAACGCACCTTTGAAATTTTTTTATTTAAAATAAAAAATTCTTGATTAAAAATTATGACTTTCTATACGAACGGTCTTGAAGCAGCAACGCCCTGGCATTATTCCCATTTCCTGTGGCGGTGTTCAGAGGTGCTCATTCCGTAACAAATCTTCGCGTGATGGCCCGGGTCATGTCAGCAGCAATTGTGAAATGCATTGTAATAGCATTTGCTGCTGCATGCGAGTAGGTGTGGTAGTTTTACTTCATGATAAGTAAATTATTCGTTTCAATTACCTTGACAATCTTTGTTTAATAACTAAAATATTCAGAAAGATTAGTTTGCTAGTTTGCGTGAGCCAGTTCCAACTATACTATTCGTACGTTCTGCAAAAAAATATAATAAAAATACTTTTAAAAGAGTAGTCTTATTTATCATTGCCTTTCATAAATTTCTCACGAGCACAGATACAGAAACACCTTGCTTGAAACCTGAATTAACTAAATGAAAAAAATTAAGAGTTAAAAGTAAAATCAACTGAGAACTCCGAAAGTAAATGCGCTTCTTTTGACCGCTTTAAATCCATCTATCATCTTACACGAATAAGTGTGTATTATTAGCTCATTTTATCAATTCAGTGGTTATTTATGCACTCGAAATTTTCATCATTTCTTCCTGTATGAGGCTTTTATATGCTTTGGTACATGAAACTACAGTATTCACAGCTACCATTATGAGCTATGTTTAGGTTCACGACCTGAATTACCCGAAGTGATTATCTCTCGTCGCACATGTGCAACCCATGAAGATTTCTGTCATCAACTCGAATCTGATGGATAAACATTCAATTCTGTTGCTATTTCGAAGGGTTCGTCAGTAAATCCTTGGCGTCAAGGTTATGGTGAACTTCAGTCTTGGCATCAAGTTGGTGTTAAGCTTCTGTCAACTAGAAGGGCGGAGCACGTATGAATTTTGTATAAAATGTATGAATTCATCCTTTGTATGAATTTTGTCTTTTTTGTATGAATTGTTCCGTGTTAGAGTTCATAACTATATATGAAAAAAGCTATGACGGACGGAAGATCATGTGGAAACATGTCTGATGTAATTACATACATAACTCCATGATACTTTTGACAGTTTAGTGGACGCAGTTAAATCTTTGGACATCGCTAGACTCATTTTCCACCGCATAACGCTCGATGACCGGTGAATTGTGTTACTTCTGCTTCTTAGACATATTCGGCCTCTAAAATTTCTCACGAAACCATGAATAAGTACAGTTTTGGAGTGACCAATTATTGTCATGTTTTTCGAGCATGAGAGAATACTTGTAGACGGATACGAACCGTCGGCGTGAACGTATCTCTGAATAAATCAAACCCTACTTTTTAACATATGATGCTGCAAACTCACTAGTTCAGTGCGTATGATTGCATGAGTTTAAGAAAATTTCATACTTTTTATT